ATCAGCTGAATCCTGCTTTGTTCCCAAAGCTTCCTGATAATTCCCTGGTTATTATTTAACCCAGCCAACGGTTGTTTTCCTGCTGAGCCTTGGGGACAAGCAACGGCAGAGGTTTCACACCCTTCTTGGCCCCTATTTCAGTGTTTGGTTACTCTTACAGTGGGGTTTTCCCCCTCCCTCTGTTTCTAACGGGAATTTCCCATGCTGCAAAGTCACAATAGGAAATCTGAGATTTAACCTCATCTGCAAGATAATGCACATGGAGAACTTGCTGGTGGCATCAAGTCAAAAAGAATGTGACACCATTAATTCTTTCATGCATCCTTTCTCTGTTTCTAAAAGCATAGAATCATGGAATAGGTTGGCATGAAGGGAGCTTAAAGCTCACCCAGTTCCTTTTCTTAAGGCCCTCAATGAATTTAACAACACTGTCTAGAAATGGAGTTTGATCCAGTGGAACGGTAGAATTCACTCTGTTTATTCTCATTTGCCAAGCAAAAGGGAGAGCAAAAAGGAAAAGAGCTTTAAGCTCATCAAGTTCAACTGTTCCCCAGCACTGCCAAGGCCACCACTAACCCATGGCACTGAGGGCCTTGTCTATAGGGTTGTGAACAGTTGCAGGGCCGGTGCCTGCAGCCCTGCCCTGGGCAGCCTGTTCCAATGCCTGAGCACCCTCTGGGGCAGGAATTGTTCCTCAGCTCCATCTAAACCTGCCCTGGTGCATCTTGAGGCCCTTTCCTCTTGTCCTGTCTTTTGGATTAAAACAAACTGAAAATAGGTTTGAGGGGGCAACTGATGCAGTTTGCCCTCCAGGAGGCCTTCACATCCTGACTGGAATTAGTTTAATCCACACAAAACTATTCTGAGATGCATATACCATGGAGAGAGGGTGCATGGTACAAGTCCTTCTGATGTTCAGACCTGCTCTGGACCACATCCATCCTCACCAGCTGTCCTAGGATGTGATAAAACATCCTTTTATTCCAAACCACCCAAGAAGGGACCTGATTATCTCATAACTAGACAATGAATTTCAGATGTTGAGTCAGGTGACCCCATTGCCATGCTTATTCTCCAATCCCAAATACATAATGGTAGGAAAATCACATTTATGAAAGCCAGGAAGACATGGAGGATGGATGTAGTGGACTACAACTTGCCTCAGTTTAAGAGTTTAAGAACATTTTTAACAGGTGAAGAACTAAAGAGAGACACAAATAAATCCATCCCAAGACAACTAGTAACAAGAAATTCAATGTATGAAGTGTCCTTGAGGAGGCTGAAAAGTGAAGACAAATGCAATGAGCTTCCCCTGCTCCTTTTATTAGGGGTCAAAAGCAGGAAGGGACAAAGCACCCCATTAGCAAGTACCACATGATCTGCACATGCCATGAAGACAGGGATGTGTCTTTAAGGGGAGAGTAGGACCAAGCTTGCATGGGCACAGAAAGCCCTCCAGCAGGCTCAAAATCCAGGCTTTCACAATACAAGCAGTCACAGCTGTTTCCATCACAAGTGATGCTGCTCACTTTGCCAAAGCAAGAAGTGGTCCTTGGGGACCAAGCACCCTTCCAGGAGTCATCAGCTTTAACAAGACCTTCTGGGGTTTACCAAGGAAGTTTCCTCATCACCACGAAAGCTTCTCAGAAAACTTGGATGTGATTTCCCTCACTCTTCATAACAAGCCATCAGATATTAATTAGCTGTGTATAACAAGAAAGAAACTTTCTTCTTTGCTAACAACAAAGTTCACTTCTACAGCTGCTTTGCTTGACAGAGATGGTTCATGTCCAAAGCCATTGAGCTGGAGGGTCAGTGTGTTGGCATGTTTGTGTATTAAGGACAATTTCATGGGCCTGGATCATAGAATGCCAGAGAAGTTTGTTTTGGAAGGGACCTTAAAGCTCCTCCAGCTCCAACCCCTGCCACGGGCAGGGACACCTTCCACTGGAGCAGCTTGCTCCAAGCCCGTGTCCAACCTGCCCTTGAACACTGCCAGGGATGGGGCAGCCACAGCTTCTCTGGGCACCCTGTGCCAGCGCCTCAGCACCCTCACAGGGAAGAGCTTCTGCCTAAGAGCTCATCTCAGTCTCCCCTCGGGCAGGTTAAAGCCATTCCCCTTGGCCTGTTCCTACAGGCCTTGGTCCAAAGCCCCTCTCCAGGTTTCCTGCAGTGCCCCTTATGGTATTGAAAGGCCACAATAACATCTCCCTGAAGCCCTTTTCCCCTGTTGCTGACCATTTCAGTCCTTTACCACACTCCTCACTGTTCCTCCCCATCTCCTTCCTTTCCCTTTTTGGGCACCGCTCCCTCAGGCTCTCCTTTGTCTGGAAAGCCACACACTGGAAAGAAATCACATCCCCAGTGTAGAATCTACACATTTGAAACCCAACTATTGAAATCCTTTCCAATCAAAATGGATAAAATACATTCTCCTTGTGTTGACATTTTAAACTTACCAGCTATGGGAGACATACCAGACATCTCCAAAGAGGAGGGCACTCACCCTCTTTTAGGCATGACTTACATTAAAAACCAAACATGAGTGTCTCTCCTTATCTATTTATGAGACAAAGTCCCATTACAGCTAAGGAGACTCAGGCCAATGCAATCAGCAGAGCTCATTCAGATCTCTTCACCTGAAGCAATGGAGGTGTCTGCCTTGCAGTGAGAGGCATGAACCCCACCAAATCTCCCTCAACACTAAAGGGAGCTGATGAACCCAGTAAACACATAGGGGTGACATGGTGCATTCAAAAGTAAGGAGATAAGTGCTTGCCTAAGGACATTTGAGGTGATTCCTAAATCCAATCACTAAGTACCCAAAAAGGGGAGGTAGCTCCTACCCAGCATTTGCTCAGCTGCCTTTAAATGAGATTTAACTACAATGAAAGCAGCTCCACCTGAGAGTGGGGAGCTAAAGCCATTAGGAGCTCCTCAGCAGGAATGCCAGAAGCCAGCCACCTCATTGCCTGCTCATCATGACCCAGCAGGAAGATGCATTGCAATGCTGGCTGCTGCTTCTGCTTCCTAGAACCTCACCTGGTGTTTGCTCTCCTGGTCAGATGATAACTCCATTGAAGGCAATGGCAGCCCTTAGACACAGCAAACCACCGGTTTCCTTAAACACACACAACAAGGAGGAAAAAGCTTTCCCTTTTGAGAGCAGCACCTCCGAAGTGAAGCCACGATGAGCAGAGCGATAGGGTTGTACACACAGACTTGTGTTTTTGAGAAACTAAGAGCTCATATTCCTGTTTAAACACTTGGTGATGGTGAAGGAGAGAACAGCTGGACATAAAGTCATTGAATATTGTTGCAGAAGGCACCAGAGAGACCTTGTTGTGGCCTTTCAATACCTTAAGGGGACTACAGGACACCTGGAGAGGGGCTTTGGACAAGAGCCTGTAGGGACAGGCCAAGGGGAAATGCTTTAACCTGCCTGAGGGGAGACTGAGATGAGCTCTTAGGCAGAAGCTCTTCCCTGTGAGGGTGCTGAGGCACTGGCACAGGGTGCCCAGAGAAGCTGTGGCTGCCCCATCCCTGGCAGTGTTCAAGGGCAGGTTGGACACAGGGGCTTGGAGCAAGCTGCTCTAGTGGAAGGTGTCCCTGCCCGTGGCAGGGGGATGGAGCTGTGTGAGCTTTAAGCTTCATCTGGGTTAAATAATAACCAGAGAATTATCAGGAAGCTTTGGGAACAAAGCAGGATTCAGCTGATTGACCCTGGGTGCCTGTTAGTTGTGTGTTGTTAAGGAATAAGCATACCACTTAGATCCTGACTTAACTGAATCCAGCTGTTAGCGTAAGAACTGACGCATAACCACCGGAATGGTTATATGAGGTGCTTTATTGCAGCGCTGGGAAACCAGGGGCACGCTCCCAAATCTGGCTTCAACCCCGTTACATCGCGCTCACTATTTATACACTAAAAATGTCGTCACTAATACATATTCAACACAGATTACATCATTGACTAATACATATGCATCAAGGATTGCCACATCAGTCTATTACGACATCAGCCTCTTCTGCCCTTGCGCAGCCCCCCTCTGGTGGTCGTCCTGATGCAGTAAGGAGTCTTCCTCAGGTCATCCTGTTCACTTTTCTGTTCTTTGGACATGTCCCAATCATTATGTGGACGCCAGCATTCTCTTATTTTCACTTGACTACTCCTGGTATCTTCGTGAGTTCTGCTTCGGTAGAGTTTCACAATACTCCCCTGGATCCACCCATATACCCTTCCCCATATATGGCTATGTTAATTGCTTATCGTTATAGCTACCATTGTAATATTTAGTTATAAAGTAACTAAGATACACAATAACAGGATTTCAACTTGTTCTTAATACAAAAGAAACCCTCAACTGATTAACAGATTTTCAAATATAATCATCTTTTCTCTTTGTACTATTGTTTCAACGCACAATTTCACCTATTACTAACACAGCCATGGAGCTTCTCCCTCCAACCTAGGTTATTATTGTGTCTACGATATCCCTAAAGCTCAGCCATGGCTCTGGGTTTCACCATGGTCCTGGCAGAGGCTGCAGCTCTATGGGCTGAGGTAATGCACACAGTGGAGTATTTTGGGGTGGTTTAGGTATGCAATGTGTGTCCATCATCCATCAGCTCTCTGTGCAGGAAAGCAACAGGAGAGACATCAGGGCAGGCAATGCCATTGCTCCAGGCTGCCATGGGCTGCCACGTATCAGGTCTGAAGGCTGCTGAGCAACACCACAGCTCCTGTGCTCTGGTGTGATCAGGCTGCCACGGAGATCATGGCTTTTATTGCTGCCAACAGGGAGCTCAAAGGCAAAGGTGCGGAGCAGTGGATGGGGATTCCTTGATAGTTTCTGCCCTTTGCTGGGTATTAATCACTATCACGTCTTAAAACTCTTTCAAACTGTTTGCAGAAAACCCCACAATGTTGTTCAACCAAAACCAGAGCATCTCCCCCAGTACATCCATTCTATCTGGTCCTAAACTTACAACAATTAAGATCATTTTATTTTTGTGAGCTTCCTCAAAGCCTCCTTCACCTCCTTATTCCTCAGGCTGTAGATCAAGGGGTTCAGCATGGGAGTCACCACAGTGTAGAGAACCACAGCCCATTTATCTGCTGCTCTTGAGCTGTCTGAGCTGGGGAATAAATACATAAAAAAGCATGCCCCATAGAAGATGCTGACAGTGGTGAGGTGGGAGGTGCAGGTGGAGAAGGCTTTGCGCTTGCCCTCGGCTGAATTGATGCTCAGGATGGTGGGGATGATGGCCACGTAGGAGAGCAGGATAACCAGGATGCTGGACACACCAAAGAGAGATGCTGCAGTGGTCAGGATGATGTGGCTGAGGGTGGTGTCAGAGGTGGAGAGCGAGATGAGAGGGGAAATGTCACAGAAGAAGAGGTCGATGGTGCTGGAGCTGCAGAAGGACAGGGTGGACATGCTGATGGTCTGTCCCACGCCATTGGTCAGCCCCAGGAGGTACGAGGCAGTCACCAGCTGGAAACAGCACTTTGGGGACATGACAAGGGGGTACAGCAGGGGATGGCAAATGGCCACGTAACGGTCATAGGCCATTGCAGCCAGCAGGAGGCATTCAGATACTGCAAAGATATCAAAGAGAAACACCTGAGCCACACACCCAGCATAAGCAATGCTCTTCTTCTCTGACATCAAGTCAACCAAAATCTTGGGGGTGATGATGGTGGAAGAACAGAGGTCTACAAAGGCCAGGTTGCCCAGGAAATGATACATGGGGGAGTGGAGGTGGGGGCTGGCCCTGATTAAGATGATGATGCCCAGGTTGCCCACAATGGTGATAACGTAGGTGAGCAGGAAGAGCAGGAACAAGTAGACCTGAGTCACCAGGTCCTGTGTGAAGCCCACCAGGCTGAACTCGGTCACTTGGGTGCAATTGCTTTGTGCCATGGGCTGGATGGTGCTTTGTGTGTGAGCTCCTGGCTGGGGGTTTCTTCTCCAAGAGGCAGGGATGTCCCAGGTGGAAAAGGCTCTGTGTGGTGGGAGCTGCTCAGAGACAGTCCTGCAGGATGGAAAGGGAGAGTTCAGGCACAGATCAATGAGGAAGAGCTTGGTGAAAGTCCTGTGCCAGCACAGGTAGAACAAAGGGGTGCTCAAGCAGTTAAACACCATGGCACAACGTGGTGCCTGCTCCTGTGGCTCACCTTGAGATGTTGAGCAATGACCACTCTGGAAAGCAATGGGGAGGTTGCACACCCAGGTAGCTTTACCTTAGCGCTGCAATTCATTGCCTGTGATAGTGCTGAACCTGGGGCTTGGAGACCATCCGGCTCAACCTGGAACACAGAGAAACATGGTGCTTTCGCAGTGTAGAGCTGATCCCTCATCCTCTTTTGGGCTTTTCCCAACCACCCACTTCCTCCCTCTCTGCTTGAGTTTCTTCCTAACTGGAACGAATTCCTGACCTATGGAAAGTGCAGGTTGGACAGGGCAACCTGCTCTAGTGGAAGGTGTCCCTGGCCATCACAGGGGCTTGGAAGTGGGTGAGATTTAAGGTCTCTTCCAACACAAGCCATACTATGATCCGATGCAACCTTACACAGTGGTTAGTATTGGTTTTCCCTCCCCCTTGACACACTCTGTCAGATCTAAAACATTTTCATGGTTCTTTAACCTTTCCCTTGAGTCTCCAACAGAAATGGGCAATCCCCAGAGCTCAGCAATCCCTACTTGCACACATGTTTTGGGGAAAAAAACTCACCTTTTGGAGCTGCCTCATCTCAGCAATGGGGAGCACCCTGAATGTCCTGTACAGGAAAGCTTCTGGTGCTCATCCAGGAAACCTTTTTTGCTCAGAGGTGAGGAAGCCTCCTGAGGGTGCTCTCCACCAGGGTGATCTCCAAACCTGCCTTCTCAGCAGCTGCATGGGGAGCACACAGCACAAGCAGTTCCTTGGGAAGCCCAGAGCATCATCAAGAAGCCCACAACCCTGCAGCAGGGCAGGAGATGAAGACAGGAGCTGCTGGCTGTTGGCAAGGGAGAACCACAGGAGAATGATGGGCTGAAAGATGCTGCCCCTCACTTACATCTCAGCTCTGTCTCTGCTGCCCTCCTCATGCTCTCGGAGATGGATGTGAAGATGAACGTGCCTGGAGCTGTGCAGGGAGCCTGGGAATGAGCCAGCATCAGCAAACCCCCTTTCTATTTCAAGTGATGTGGGGATGTGGGACTGTGAATCTCTTTGTGCCCCAGGAGGTGACAAAGCCCAAAGCAGGTAATTATCTCTTCTCTGTGCTGCTTGGTTTGGAGAAGAAATGTACCCAGAGGAGATGACCTCAGCTTGAGCAAACAACAGGGCTTTGGGCTCCCTTAGAGCAAGGCACAGAACAAGCCCACCTTTGACATCCACTTTTGGAGCATTTCGGAGGCAGTTACAGCTTCACAAGGGCCATGGTTGACATTATCATGGCAGGGAGCTGAGGGGAACCTCGCCAATGGGAGCTGGTACCAGGGTCCATCAGCAATCCCAGCACCACAGGCAATGAACCAGCTTTCCACCCATCTTCAATTCCTTGTACTCAAACCATAGCTCACAAGTTTGGCTGCAAATGAGCCAACAGAAGATCGTGGTGACCTTGCTAACGACGAGGTAAATGCTGTCCTCTACTTCTTGTCCATGCAAACATCAATGCTCACATCACCCAAGGCACTCGGGCTGGTCAGGCGTGACTTGGCCTTGGTACCTCTGTGCAGGCTGCTCATGGGCACCCTCCTGTCCTTCTCTGCCTGGACAGGGCTTCCTGGGGAATTTGGATCTTAACCTCAGTGGGCCTGAGGCAGCCCCAGTCCTTGTGCTCTCCTTGATGATGTCATTCACCTTCTTCCACCCATCATGCTGGAAGCACAAGAGACAAAGGAGAGCCTGAGGGAGCGGTGCCCAAAAGTGGAATGAAGGAGATGGGGAGGAACAGTGAGGAGTGTGCTAAAGGACTGAAATGGGCAGCAACAGGGAAAAAGGCCCTTCTGAAGGGTGCTTTAGGGTTGCCCTTGTCACTGGTGGCTCTGATGAATGCTCCCAAGCCCATCACAGAATCCCAGAGAGGTTTGTGTTGGAATGGACCTTAAAGCTCATCCAGTTCCAACCCCTGCCATAGGCAGGGACCCCTTCCACTGGAGCAGCTTTCTCCAAGCCCCTGTGTCCAACCTGGCCTTGAACACTGCCAGGGATGGGGCAGCCACAGCTTCTCTGGGCACCCTGTGCCAGAGCCTCAGCACCATCACAGGGAAGAGCTTTTACCTAAGAGCTCATCTCAATCTCCCCTCTGGCAGGTTCAAGCCATTCCCCTTGGCCTGTCCCTACAGGCCCTGATGAAGAGTCCCTCTCTTATTCTATCTGAGTAAGTTGCTTCACATGTTGTGTTCTCTTTTCTTGAGGGAATTGTCCAAATGTCTCTATTTTTCATGAAAACTCCATCGGAAACTTTGATTAAAAGCTTATAAAGTGAGCATTTCACTTCACACCAACCTATATTCGATTTTGACTGGTTGCCATTGCATTCATTCATTATTCATCACAGTTCTTTGCAGAAGACAACGGTTTCCAAAGGTGCTTATTTTAAACCACAAATTTATTCAGTTTGTCATTATACAAGTACATGTTCTTCCAACAATTGTACAGTTCATTAAACAGAAATGGTGTGTTTGGATTAAATGTTAAAAATCCTCCATCTACTATTTCATTTAGAGCATCTTTCCCCTCAATAATGTGATGACATACAGAAGGGGATGTGACATGGTCAAATCCACAAAGCACAGACCTGGTACTGAACATCCAGAAAGGAAAAGATGTAAAGACCACACATCCCAGGAAGATTTTAGTTGGGACATACTTCTGGCCACATGCTAACCTATGTGTGCCTATCACAGGTCCTTAGCACTGCTCCAGCTCACTTACGTGGGATAAATGTATTGGATGCTCATATCAGGTATCACAGAATCCCAGACTGGTTTATGTTGGAAGGGACCTAAAAGCTCTCAACTTCCAACCCCTGCCATGGGCAGGGACAATTTCCACTAGAGCAGTTTGCTCCAAGCCCCTGTGTCCAACCTGGCCTTGAACACTGCCAGGGATGGGGCAGCCACAGCTTCTGTGGGCACCCTGTGCCAGCACCTTGGCACCCTCATAGTGAAGAATTCCTTCCTCAAATCCAATCTGGATCCCCCTGCTTCAGTTTGAACCCATCACCCCTTTTCCTATCCCTACACTCCCTGATGAAGAGTCCTTCTCCTGCATCCCTGTAGCCCCCTTCAGACACTGGAAGCTGCTCTGAGGTCTCCAAGCAGCTTCTCTTCTCCAGTCTGATCAGCCCGAGTGTTCTCAGCCTGGCGCAATACGGGAGCTGCTCCAGCCCCTGAGCATCCTCGTGGCCTCCTCTGGACTTACTCCAGCAGCTCCATGGCCTTCTTATGTTCCCTGCAGAGAAGGACCTGGGGGTGCTGGTCAATGAGAAAAGGACCATGAGCCAGCAGTGTGTGCTTGCAGCCAAGAAACGAACCGTATCTTGGGCAGCATCCAAAGGAGAGTGGCCAGCAGGTAAAAGGAGTCGATCCTGCCCCTCTGCTCTGCTCTTGTGAGACCTCACCTGGAGCACTGTGTGCAGTTCTTGTGTAGTCAACATAAAAAGGACATGGAACTGTTGGAACAAGTCCAGAGGAGGCCACGAGGATGCTCATGGACTGGAGCACCTCCCGTATGAAGACAGGCAGAGGAAGTTGGAGCTGTTCAGCCTGGAGAAGAGAAGCTGCGTGGAGACCTCATAGCAGCCTTCCGGTATCTGAAGGGGGTCTATAGGGATGCTGGCGAGGGACTCATCATTAGGGATTGTAATGACAGGACAAGGGGTAACGAGTTAAAACTGAAACAGGGGAAGTTTAGGTTGGATATAAGGAAGAAATTCCTTCCTGTGAGGGTGGTGAGGCACTGGAATGGGTTGCCCAGGGAGGTTTTGAATGTTGTATCCCTGGCAGTGTTCAAGACCAGGTTGGACAGAGACTTGGGTGGCATGGTTTAGTGTGAGGTGTCCCTGCCCATGGCAGGGGGGGTGGAACTAGGTGATGTTAAGGTACTTTCCAACCCTAACTATTCTATGATTCTAGTATTCTATAGACACCAAAACTGTATCAGAACTGCAGGGGATACCAGAGCTGTATTGAAACTTTGGTCCTTCCCTCAGATCTTCAAGCTTGCTTGGGATGAACAGTTATGAACCAGGCAACGGAGACAGTGGTCACTGCCTTACTTCAAGGCTGAGCCACCTTTTTGTGGGAACTACTTTCATTTAGCACAATTTAGACACAAAACACCATGGTGCTGTCTCAGTCCTGCTATTAAATAACTGATACTTATTTGGATGAATTATCCAAGACTCAGTCTACGCTTAAAATCACCAGAACCTGTTTGAAGGAACCATTCATTCCCCAGACTCCTTCTGGCTGCATCAACACCTCCAAGACCAGTTCTCCTGCAGAGACCTACCCAGGAAGAAAGGCCCAGGACAGTTTGCTTTGTATTTCCCCATCTATCACACACCTCTTGCTTTCAGTGTTTCCCTGAGGAAGCCCTTTACATCCACAGAGATCATCTAATATTGCATTGAAGGGAGCTGAAAACAAACACAACAAAGCATCCTCTGTGTGGATGGTTCGCGCTGGTCATGGGGAGTCCTTTTCATCAGATGCATTTATTTCCATACACTTGACTAGTGATTGTACAGCACTTTGGTCAAAACCATTGGCTCAAAATGTGGCTGCTTTGATGATATATCAGGATGAAGTCATATTTCCCAGTCTTCATCTGAAGAATCCTGAGTGCCGGTGTGTCCTGAATGCTTCTCCTAGATGAAGAGATATTATAAAACCCTTAGGAGAAATATTAAATGATAACCTTGTCCCAGACA